CAGAGGCCGTGGGCAGCTTTGCAACCCAGCGTTCAACCACTGCGTCACCGGGGAGGCCCCCTACCATCTTTTTAACTGTAATTTATTAGATTAGATATTTTTCATCCTATCTACATATTTCTTACATTATGTTCATGTAATAATAACATCGATGTATGAACGCTAAGGATGGATCTCAAATTGAGGGTGTTTGTGGACTTGGTGGGTAACATGGCTTCACCGAGCACACAGAGCTCAGAGGTGTTGGTGAGTGGCCCTTGGTGGTCTTTGCTGTCAGACAGAGTCCCAGCTCTGCTGCTTCTCACTGAGGTCTCAGTTTCTTCCATGAAAAGATGGAAACAATACCACTCCCTTCTAAGGTATTCTATGACCATGGAAGGAGATACCCACTGTGGAGGGGCTTGGAGAAGACCGAGCACAAATGGGTGTTCAGAGAGTTGTAGTTCTTTCGCATGGAGAGTCTGTGGTTAGAGATCAGATTTCATTTAATTTAAGAAGAAGTTGGGAATGTTCTGTAGTCAGAGACTAACTGGACGATGATTGCTAAGCCAGGGATCTAGGAAACACTAGTGCAAAGGAGGGACCAGAGCCTCTGCTGCTGAGTTTTTCAAGGGAGAGGACCCTGGATACCCCGCTGGCTTCTGTGGCTGGTTCCCCCGTGCATTCTGAGGAGCCAACCCAGTCACAGACTCTGGATCAGGCCACTGTAATCCTCTGATGGGGAAATTAAAATTTCTGGCTTGTAGCATTTGATGGTTAGAATAGTAACTTCCCCTGGGCCATTGCGATCTGTAGTCAGTTAATTTGTGTGTCTCACTCCCCTGGCTTCCGCAGATGAGGTCTGAATCAAGTTAGAGTTGACATTAGGAAGAGTGTTTCATGTGACTGGGTGGGTGAGCAGAAGCTCTCGGAAAGCTCATCTCACTGTTCCCATCCTGACTTTGCTGTGTCCAGGGCCTGTGGGGCCTGCCTGGAGATGACTCTGTTAGGAGGCTGGATGAGTGCCTGGAGTCACCTCGAACCCCAGCAATAGAACCCCAGAGAATGCAAAAGGGCATCAGTCCAGGGTAACTTGGGCCTGGATGTAACCTGAGCTGTTACATCAGTTTGGCTTGGTTTCGCCAAGGAGTCTGATGTGCTGTAAATGGATTAGCAAATCTTCTATTGAAAAAGACCTGGAAATGGCTTCCTTCCTATGGGTGGGATGGTCATTGGAGTGATTTTTCCTGCTGCTGATGTTACTCAGCCAGAGCCCCAGAGGTTCTCTCCAGATGCTGGCCTGGTCTGGCCTGACTCCATCCCTGTCCCAAGCTCCCAGGGGCTTTGTGTTTGGGTTGGTCAGAGATACCTAAGACCAGCAGATGGGATGGGCTAGAATCCTTCAGGCAGCTGCATTGCCCCTGAAGGACCCCAGGTAGTGGTTGGTAGAGATAGAGTATGTATGGGGAGAAGCGACTCCAGCTTTAAGGGGACCTGTGGGTGATTCAGGCCAGTGAGTACAGGGCAAGGGACTCCCATGGAGACCCAGCATGGACAGCAGGATTCTGACTGTGGACAAGCATCTCATTGTGATGTCAGAGCCTCCTCCAGCAGACACCCTTTACTTAATGCCACACTGACCCCTCTACTCAGTACTTAGGATTCCCAGTAGGGAGATAAATGAGACCCACATGGGCAGTGGCACCCATGCCACTTTGTTCTCTGCACATTCCCATTTATTTTGCTCCCTGTGTTCCCTTCAGAGAGCTCAAGGCTCTGTCTTTGCTAAATATCAAGTGTCTGAAACTTAGGCTCTGCTTTGTATCCTCCTTGCTGCCAGTGTCTTGTACGTGGTGTAGCACCCAGGGATGGGCTAATGGGTGAGTAGATGAGAGAATGAGTCAGTGCAGGAATCGGGGCCTCCTGCTAGCACCAGGAGATAAAATGGCAGAGTCCTCACTTCTACGGGATTTTTTTATCCCTTTTCCTTTTTATTAAGTCATTGAGAGGTACAGTGTCACACAGATTCATTGGCCCTAGCAGAAATGTTGCTTCAGAATGTGACATGACCATGCCACAAACATGAGTCACCTTTCACCACATTCCTCTGTTTTTTTTTTTTTCCGTTTGTCACCAGGAGTCACTGGCTTGTTCTCTGCTTTGTACACATAAGCACGTATCTTGCCTGGGAAGAATTCAGTTTCCTCTCAGGCACAAACACTTCAATTTTAAGAAAGAGCTGGGGGGGCCTCCCCTGGTGGCTCAGTGGTTGAGTGCTGGACTGCAAAGCTGCCCGCAGCCTCTGCAGCACTGGTTCGATCCCCGGCCCCTGGCGAGGGTCCCACATAGCACACATACCTCTCCTGCCGTGCCCGCTGCTCCCCTCAGCAGTGTATTTCATCAGTCTGCCTGTTCTGTTCCCCACTCTGGCTCTGGTGAATTCTCTCGCCCTCCCGCGCTTCTGACTGTACCCAGTGCTTGTATAAATAAATAAATGAATCTTTAAAAAAAAATCTAAGATTTGAATTTTGGGGAGCTTATTTAAAAAAAAAAAAGAAAGAAAGAAAGAGCTGTGGGCTTCCTCCGGGTCCAGAGAGCCTGGTGATATCCAACAACAGTGGCCGTGGGCCACAGTCTTCCAAACATATTTGTCAATTCAGAAGTATTGCTCCTAGTATCCAGTAAGCTCCAAGATGCTGGGTCCTCTTTGGATGTGAGGTTGGTGGCGTTCACCACCAAAGGGTACAGGCAACAGCACAAAGAGGATGGTTCCCTGGGAACCTTTTCTGGTTTCAGGAGAGGGAGCAGGAAAGTGGAATCACTCATTATGTGCATACCTACCACCATGTCCATCCTTTTGTCTGTCCTTCTATCCAGACATTGTCAAGCAAGGTACTGTGTTGGAAAGAGAGAGCCTGCCACAGATTCTGCTCTCAAAAGACCCTGGGCCTAACCCTTTGCTTTTGGATGAAGAATTGTTTGAAGGGAGGTAGTGTGACTTGCACAGCAGAGCTAAGGGAATAACCCAGTTCTTCTGAATCCTCATTGCAGGGAATTGTTGAAATGGTTGTGCTTTTTTCTGTTTTTAATATTTGAGAAATTGAATTTTTAGTAATATAATTTTTTATTAAATAATGTAATATCCATATATTGGACTACTTTAAAAGTTACTTTGTGCTAAAAGCTCCTAGATGGGCTTTTGGCATTAATGCAGTGACTGCCCTGGGTAGATGCCATTATTGATCTCATTTTACAAAGAGGGAAACCAAGGTGCCCAGGGGACAGGCAGCTTGACCAAGGTTCTAGGGGTGGTAGAGGCAGAGCTGGAGTTCAAACCCAGGTCCTCTAACTCTAGACTCACCATTCATAGATCCTAACCACTATACTGTTAGCCCCTTAAATGATTTTGGAAAGATACTTAGAAAAGTTGACATATGAAAAGCATATGCAGTATGATTTTGTTTTGTTTTGAAGATATATGGAAAACATTGACATATAGATACCAAATTGCTGATAGTGATGACCTCTGAGTTGTGGGATTATGTGCTGTATTTTATTCTCTGTGTTTTTCTACATCATCAAATTGAGTATAGTGAGAATGTATTATTTTTATCACTGGGTAATTTTTGGAGAAGTGCCTGCACACGGTGGTGAAATGAATAAGGTAGTGTTGGGGAGATGATGACATAACTGCAGTATTAACTTTATTTCTGGCTGGGCAGTGTGGCTGAGTATTGGAAGAGGGAACAGCAGTTGTGATTTGAACAAGAGGTAGGACTGTAGAACCAGGACTTTGAAAATCACCCCCATGGACAGAGGACCCTTGTTGCTGCACAGTCCCCAGTGCTTTGGACTCTTGTGCTTTCTAGCAATGGTGGACATTTGGAGAGAAATGCCCAGTTGACACCTGGGGTTCCAGGGCTAGAAACAAAAGTAAGGGGCATGAGTTGGCAGCCTCAGGGATATCAGAGAGAGGCACTGAGGGATATTTCAGAGGGTCCCAGACAGAAGGCTCTCCTGATCCCAGCTTCGTGGAGGTGGGTCCCCAGCAAAGAGAATCTTTGTTCTCTGTGGTGGGAGGTGTGAAGGGAGGTGGGTATGGGAGCAGAAAGCAGGCTCCTGCTTCCAGGATTAGGGAAAAGAGTGACTAGACAAGGCTCTTTTTTTTTTCCAAGATTTTTATTTATTTATGCATACAAGAACTGGGGTACAGGCCAGAGGTGTGGATGGTGAGAGGATTCACCAGAGACAGAGCAGGGAACAGAACAGGAAGATTGACTGAAATACACTGCTTAGGGGAGCAGTATGTGAGACAGGAGAGTTCTCTTGCACCATGTGGGTAGCTCCCTGGCCAGTGGGGGATTGAACTCGTGCTGCAGAGGCTGCGGATAGCCTCACAGTGCTGTGTTCAATCCCTTGTGCAGGGAGGCCCCCAAGTCTCTTTTTTTGAACCTTTTTAGATGTTTATTCTACATCTAGTAACTAAAGCTGTGAAGTTTCCTCTTTTAACATACAGTGCAATATATAATACAATTTGCAGAAATTTCTATCACATAAACACACTTGATTTATATTAGAAAAATGTGTTTTACCTGTACAGAAATCTTCACCTCATATTAAATGTTGAACTTGACTTCACTTTAATGTCATTTAATCTACTGACAACTTGGTTTATAATACCAATCATCCCCAAATTGGTAAGTTCTTACCACTTAAGCATTTGTGCTAGAAAATGAAGAATCCGTGGCAATGTTCAGTGGAATAATAAATAGACTCTAAAGAACACATGGAATTCTCAGATTTTACATTTGCAAAAGTAAGTTTATGAAAATATTAAAAAGTATCCCAAGTGTGTTTATGCAGTTAAATAAATTATCAAGTTTTTCTCTATTTCATACTTTAGAAGTCCTTGAAAAACACAAGACATCATGCACCAAGTCTCTATTTTTCCAACTCTGTAATACTCAGAGGTTCTGCCCTGTGAAATTCTCAAAATCATTGTGTCTTATTTCTTTGACCAGAGACCACCTGGGAACGTCCCAGCAGTTCTCCTGGGATTCCAGCCAGCCCTGGCCCTCACAGGAGCTCTCTGCCTCCGACAGGTACTGTCTGCTCACTGCTTTGGGGCAATTGGGGCTGGAGGGAGGGACCCAACTGGCTTTGCTGGGAAGACCAAGACTCTGGCCGGGGATCTTATGAGCCAAATCCAGGGAGGGGTCTAGAGGGCTGGCTTGAAGGTCGCATTGGCCTGTTGCCTGAAGGCCAGTGTCTCCCTGGCAGTGCTAGCAGCAGCCCTGGTGACCTGCCCTCACCTTGCCTCAGGTGCTTAAGAAAAGGAGGTGGCTTGGGGCTCCTGAAACAGGAGAGGAACTTCTCTACACGGTTCACAAAAACATCAAGGGGTAGAAGTTAAAGGAGGCAGATATTTTATAGGATAACATACACATAGAACATTCCGGAAAGGAAATGGGATTCCTTGTGAGGGTTTCCTTGTGAGTTCTCCATATGCAAAGATAATCAGGTAGAAATGGCCAAGGTTGACATTCCTCTAATAGGTGAGTCTAGTTCCTAGTTCCCAGCAGGCTAGTTGCAGGACATGTCAGTGGCAAACATAGCTTCTGAGTTGTGGTTTAAACTTTGTTTGAAACGTCACTTCCTCTGAGAAGCCTTCCCTGAAAACTCTATTTAGAGTCCTCTCCCATCACTCTGGATCCCAGTAGTGTGCTATTTCAGAGCTCTCAGACGGTTGTCAAACTCAACTGTATGCTTCCTGAGAGTGGAAATCTTGTCTCTCCTTTTCATTTGTGGAATTCCACAGGTCCCAAACAGCTCAATGGTCAGTGGATTCAGAAATATCTCCACCATCATGTGGTGTCTAAGACCTATTTATTGCTTTTTGACTATAGGGGTCAATGTGGGGAAGTGGTGGTTCTAATAATAGCTGGAATTTAAGCCTGAATAGGGTTGCAACTGCAGGGGCAGGGGGAGCTCCTGCTGCAGTGCCATCCTCAGCGGATGGGGAGGAGAGGGGAGAGCCTCCCAGCAGGGAACACAGTTAACCTAAAGCATTACAGGTAACCTAAAGAAGAACTGATAATGGGGCCTCCCCGGTGGCGCAGCGGTTGAGCGCTGGGTTGCGAAGCTGCCCGCAGCCTCTGCAGCACCGGTTCGATCCCCGGCTGCTCCCCGGCCACTGGAGGAGGGTCCCACCTCTTCTGCCGCCCGCTGCTCCCCTCAGCAGTGTACTTCGGCCCTTCTGCCTGCTCTGCTCCCCGCTCTGGCTCTGGTGAATTCTCTCACCCTCCTGCGCTTCTGACTGTACCCAGTGCTTGTATAAATAAATAAATAAAAATAAATCTTAAAAAAAAAAAACAGAAGTTTAAAAAAAGGAAAAAAAAAGAACTAATAATAACAGAACTCTTAAAACAACCTAAGTGGGGCCTCCCTGGTGGCCTAGGGGTTAAGTCTCAGCACTAACACCACTAAGGCCTGAGTTCCATCCCCTAACCAGGGAGCTGACCCACATGGTACAGCAGACCTCTCCTGTCTCTCCCTCTGCTCCCTCAGCAGTGTATTTCAGTAGATCCACCTGTTCTGCTCCCCACTCTGTCTCTGGTGAATCCTCTCACCATATGTACCTCTGGTCTGTACCCCAATTCTTCTATGCAAAAATAAATAAAATATTTTTTAAAAAAATAAACAACCCTGACCATAGAACTGAAAGCTGACCATAGACCTGAGGCATCCAGGGGAGAGGGGTGTGGGGTGGGGGAAGAGAGCACAATGGACTATGGCGGGGGACTGTGGGTACCTTGGAGGTGGGAGAGCTATGGTGACCACACCTGAGGGGAGAAGTACTTGTGCTGTCAAAATACTAACAAGGATGTAAAACAATGACACGTCATTAAAAAATAATATCCTGGATCCAGGGAAGGCAGGACAGATGCCGTGAGAGTGGCCCAGACCCCCACCTTTCCCCCCAGGAAGTCCTTAGCTATTCTCTCCCATTGCTACTCTAAGAAGTAGAAGTATGATCAAAGTGCATTATTTAGGGATATGAAGATTGCCAGCAGAACTCAAAATCAAAATGGCTGAGAAGTGAACCTCTGGAGATACAGCTGAGATGGGGAGAGGGGACAGGGAGGTAGAAATTTCCTACAGCAAGTTTTTACTTTCCTGCTGAGACTTCTTATAGAGCTTTTATAATCTTTTAATTTATATATATATGTGGGGGGGGTATGCATACATACATATATAGATACAATAAATAAAAATAAGCAAACATTTTTTAACTTACATCAGGAAAAAAAAAAGAAAAAACGGTAACCCCATTGAGGGGAGGGCAGTGGGCATTTACTCTCAGCTTCCCAGAGATGCAGCGAGCACTGCATTGTCAAACAGGTCCTCAGATATGGGACCATCCAGCTTCCTCACTGTTATGTGAAATAGGCAATTCCATGCTTTGTTGTTGTTCTTGCATTTTCTTAACCATAGAAATGCCAGCATCAGGGGCCTCCCTGGTGACACAAGGGGTTAAGCACCGCTCTATGAGGCAATCCACAGCCACTGCAGCACAAGTTCGATCCCCGGCCGGCTAGGGAGTAACCCACATGGTGCAGCAGACCTCTCCTGACTCGCCCGCTGCTCGCCTCAGCAGTGTATTTCAGTAGATCTGCCTGTTCTGTTCCCCACTCTGTCTCTGGTGAATCTCTCATTCCCCACACCTCTGGCCTGTACCTCAGCTGTTGTATGCATAAATAAATAAATCTTAAAAAAAAAAAAGATATGCCAACATCAGTTAAGTGAGGTATGGTCCTCCATCCTGAGTGGCTCCAGGTCAGGCAGACACTAGGAAGAAATTCAGCTGAACTTTCCAGCCACAAGGCAGGACAGGACCACTCTCCGGGCAGGGACGGTGTGGGTGTGGGAGGTGACTGGGGAGAACTGCCACCTGCGATGCTGGCAGAGCTGGTCAGGGACTGCTGTGGTCATGTGTCCAAAGCTGGCTCTTTCCGGCTCGTCCCCATGGGCATCCTGTCCCCTCTGAGAAGTGAACCTCTGGAGAATCAGCTGAGATAGAGGACAGGGGACAGGGAGGTTGAAATTTCCTTCAGCAAGTTTTTACTTTCCTGCTGAGACTTCTCACAGAGCTTTTACTATTTTTTTGATTTTTGTGTATATGTGTATGCATACATACAGATACAGGTACAAAAATAAAAATAAGCAAAACATTTGGTAGTTGCTGTCTCAGGCCACCCCTGGCCCAGGGGCCAGATGTGACCAACTTCTGCCCTTTTGCAGCAAGCACAAGAACCCTGTCAGCCCAGCAACAAGTTGGGTGTTGGGGTTCTGAGAGGGGCCCACCATGGTGGGAGGTGAGTAGAGAAGGTCAGATCCAGTGATGTGGACAGCCAAGGTGGGCAAGGCCTTAGGCTGAGCATGTGGATGATGATGTTTCTCCTGTCCCCACCCCAAGGGCCTAGGACCATGTTTCCCAAAGTGGGGAAACATTCTGCATGAGTGTGGGGGATCTCAAGTTCTCTGCCCAAAGGGGCTTTGCAGTCAGAGGAGGAAGTGCTGCCTCCTCCACTCCCCTTTGGAGAGAGCACTAGCTCAGGCCTGGGAGGGAGGCTCCTGGCTAACTCTGTACTCCTCCCTGTGGTTGTTTGCAGCATGTCTTCTGCTCCTGCTCTGGGGCAGTGGTACTCAGCTCTGGGGTGATGTTGCCACTGCAAAATTTGGCCATACCTGGAGGTGTTTTTGGCTGTCACCATGGTGGGAGGTGTCTAGAGGGTGAGGCCAGGGATGCTGCTAACATCCAGCACAACCCCCACCACAAAGTATCCAGCCCTAAATGTCAGCAGGGCCAGCCTTAAGAGATGCTGGTCTGGTGAGTGGGAACACTGCTCAGGGTCACTCCACAAGGGAATGTGGTCCTCTGAAAGGAGAAGCAGCAGCAAACGTGCAGAACCAAATTCATGATTCTAAGACCCACCTTTTATTCCGCCCCCAAACCCTTTATTATCTTGCAAGTCAGATACCATCAGTGGTATATCCTGGTTTAACTGGAAGCATCTTTTCTTCTTTCTTAGAAATACTTAAAATTAAGTGTGCCTCTAACAACAAATGACAGCTTTGATTTGTGAAATTACAACTCGTTCAGCTGGGGCCAGGAGCACAGCTACTCTTCTTGCCAGATCTCACTTTCTCCATTCATGAATTGAGGCCTGCAGGGACTGCGTGCTGAGATCCTGTCTCGCCCTCCATAGTGTGTAGTTCTCAATGCCCTCAACCCAGGGGTATAACAACATGTCAACTCTCCATGCACCCTCTGGATGGAAGGAAAGAGAACCCACCACTGAACCTATAGCAGGGATCTGTCATGTTATGACATCTTTTCTAGTTTTTGAACTAAGCCTTATTGCTAAAGAATAAAATAATAGCTACATTAGCATTTCTTTCTGCAGGGGAGCACTAGGTATTTTACAGCCATTCTGTCATACAGTTTTACAAGCAGCTTTCAGGAGATTAACTTTTATCATGGGAAGAGAAACAGATTCCAGGAGGACATGAGGTTGCTTTGAAACTTGACCATCCCTGTCCCCACACTCCGGGAATTATCGATGCCTCACCTGGAGACCACTCAGGGGTCTAGTCTCAGTTCCTTTGGTTCTGCATATGCTCCTGCCAAAATCCTTGTCATTCAAAAAATCCCCCAGGTGCTGTTCTCAGTACTGGGGATATAGATAAGCCACTTGGATATAGATTCTGGGAGCAGGGACCACACAGAACTTTAGCGGCAGGATTAGACCAACAAGCAGAACTAAATATGTGAGCTGTTCTTTATGTGTTCAATGTAAGGAATTAAAGTCAGCCAGTGGGATAGAGACTGTGACCAGGGAATTAGGGACAGCCTCAGTGAGGAAGTGACATTTAGGTCATATGTCAGGTAGTGATAATTGTTCTAGGCCCAGGAACAGCTAGTGCAAAGGCCCTGGGGCAGAAGTGACCTTGCCTATTTGAGAATAGGAAGCAGATAAACATTGCTGGAGGGTGGGGGACAAGAGGGAGTATGGTAGGAGATGGGGGGAGGGGAGTTAGT